AGTACAGGCCTTTCTCAGTGCAGAGCTGGGTTGAAGAGAAGGCAGTAACAAAAAGTCATTCTCATCCTTCAGTAGCTCTGCATAAAAAAAGTTTTTGAAAACAAGAGCAAATGGATACCAGTCCCTCCAATTTATGCTGAGGATGAAAGTATGGCAAGGAAAGCGACCTCCTATTTCTTCTGCTGAGTCTGACAGAAGAGCAAAAATATTATGGAATTCCCAGGCTACATCACTGCGCCACTTGCACAGCAGACACCTCAGTGCATTCCACCACCTACCAAAATCTTTCCACTACCTTTTAAAGTGAATTAAGGACAGTGCAACTGCTGTCATTATTATCTTGGATATTTCATCCTAGTAGAGGTTAGTCGGTTTGATATTTTATCATCTAAGGCAGCATTTCCTGAAATGTTGGAGTGATTTACAAGCACAACTCTCTCTAGGAGCTCATACCTCACTGGAAGTGGGGGAAGACATGTTTCATGAGCCAATTCATTCAGCTTCATTCATTGAGATTCATTTAATTCATTCAGCAAATTGGAAATTGCATCACTGATGCCTAAATGTGCATGCAGAAATTACAGCTATTTCTTTGAGGATCCAGATTTTAGATGGGCAAACTCTCAACATTTGCATTTAGAAGGAGACTAATCTCCAGCCGTGCTTTTCTTCATGGTTGGACTAGATGATCTTAGTGCTCTTTTCCAACCTTAGTGATTCTATGATTCCCGTGACAATGTTCAAAGCAGCAGACAGTCCTCAGCGTTTAGGAAAATATTGCCTTTATCATGTATATAAGTTCATTATGCAATCAATATTTCAATTCCCTGGCTTGGGTTGTGTCTGCCTTGGGTTGTGGAGGAGATGCAGATAGAGAAACAAAGCTGGCAATACATGTTTAGCAGCAGTAAATAAATCAGATAATTTGGGGGACAGAGCAAACTAACAAAGCATATAGATAGAAGAAACCATACGTTTTCTAAATTAAAATAATAACATCTTGAGTTGTTAACTAACTCTGTAAGTTAACTCTACAGGTTAAAAATATTTTTTGAAGTTCTGTATACAGTTACCTCCTTTTTCCCTGTGATGCACACATATATGGGTAAAACAAGTGCTGCCATTAAAATTTTTGCTCTCTGAGCAATCCCACAGTCAAGCAGGCGAAGACTCACCTATAAAGGTCTGCATCACAATCCAGCGAAACAGCACAAAATGGGACATTTTGGCTGACGGCGACCCAAGGTCAGTGAGCGGAAGGAGAGAAAACCAGACCTTATAGCTACCATTAAAGATGCTGAGTGAGCCCAACTGAAGTTTCGTTTCTCCATTTCCAGATTTTACATACCGCAATTGCTTCTGTTTTCCGGATAGGTCCCTCTCCCTTTCCAAGACACACAGCGTGGTATTACCGTCGCAGTTCAAAATTGTTGTGGGTTTTTCTTTTTTTTCCTTTCTGTGAATTCTTAAGATTGATTACTGTTACGTGGTACTGAGCAGCAAGAAAAAACTCTGTGCTCTTACAGTCTTAAGCATTTGGCTTAATCTTCACCTGTGCTTAAGATTTCCTAATCCCTTCTTTGCTCTTGATTCTGCTTTCTGCTTCAAGACCCCCCTACGTCTTTTTTCTGCTTCATATTTTCCTCATCCTTACTTGTTAGGTGATGATCTGCATCAACTACCAGTCCAGTGTTTTCCTTAGACTTCCTCTTGCCATTGACATACTTTAAAAAGCCTTTTTTATTGACTGACACCACACTGATCACTGTCAGCTGAGGCTGTGCTTTGACTTTTCTTGTTTCCTCATTGCAAACGCAAATTGTAGATAGACAGAATTCTGTGCAAGTAAATGTAATGCAGTGCAAATGGAGAAAACAATTGTAAGTTCAAATAATAAAATGATGGGCTTTGAACAGACTCTACCCCTCAATATGGAATTTAGGCCTCATCAGGCACAGTACCATGAAAATATTACCTCTAGGCTTGGTAACACTTGGGGGGGGGGAGAAGGGGGAAGGCATATTTTAGCAATTATTATTAAATTCCATATTCTCTATTAATAAGCTATCTATTCATTGAAAAGAGAACAAATCAGAAGACATCATTACACCTCTACATAAGTTCTACTTTGTATCCCATCATTAGTTCTAGTTCCCTCTACTTAAAAAAAAGCAAATATTAGAACCAAGAACAGTTTGAGGAAGGCCAAAAAGAATGGTGAAAAAAAAAAAAGGAAGAGCTTCCACAGCTGGAATAAGTGAATGGTCCATATCAAGTCAGGAAGAGATACAGGTCTACAAAATCTTGAGTGGCATGAAGAGATGAACTTTTCGATACCATCCCCACTCCCAAACTAGCATGAGAGAATGATTCCTATGTTTGCAGACCTGTTGACATCCTCATCCATCACACCACCATGTTATTCATAGCAAGAAGTAGATCCCCAGTAGACTAGATTGCAGCTAAGCCAGAATGCCTTGCTTCTTTCACCAGCAGATAGCCATCCAATGCTGCAATAGACAGTTCAGTGGCAGATTCAAGGAGCACGAATCTCAAAGAACTCTTCTGAATTTATTCTGAAGGGATGCTTCAGTGTAGCATAACAGCAATCAGTAGGAATAGACACAACAATAGTATCCTACTGTCAATACCATAAGGCACTTTAGCCAGCAATCAGTAAAATACCTGACTGGCAGTGTTCTACCAGGTACAACTCATACAATGCCAAGTACGAGCAGCTCCAGCTGTTCTGTGACGATCTGATGAAGCCTAACGTGTTCAATATCCCAGATACTTTTCCTCTACAGCAGGTCCTAGCTCCTCCTTCCTCTCCTATCACTCACCATCATACAGTGATCATGAGCCAATGCTCAGCTAATGCCAATGCAAGGAGCAGCCGAATCCCACCTGGGACACTAATTTGGGTCTTTATCCAGCTACTAATTTCAATGAAGTTTCTCAAATCAGGATTAGCCAGCCTGTTCTAAACAACTAGGGAAGGAATAGACAAGCATGGCATCATTCAGCTTTGCTTCCTTACCAAGACTGGGCATTGAAAAAGGCCATCCAGAATCCATCAGATTCAAGTATGCTGGGAAGAACCAGAAAAACATGCCTTGCTTTCTGTATCTATACTGCTATCTAGTGGCTTCTTGCAGGCAGAAAAGGAAGGACAGACTGCTCTGCAGCTTGTTAGCTCAGTAGGCTGTCAGCTGTGTGCAGTTGGAAAACCTCTTAATGGGTGAATAGGCTCAAATGCCACCTGTACAACTCTGGGGATCATTTTGAAATACCTATTCTAAGATGCACCGACATGAGTGGACATTATTTTGCATCAAAACTCTCTGATACAAAAATAAGTCTGAATTTGTCTGTAATACCAAGGAAAAAACTCCTAATGGGCAAGTACCTTTCATTATCAGCAGACCTCAGACTCCTTAAAAGTACAAATGGTTGGAATCAGATGGTTTTGGAAACCCCTCACTTCTTGTCTGAATCCCTGTGAAGATTATTAATTTGGCAAAAGCTTCAGGAAGTAGAAATTGCTGAAGATATTTTCTGAGCTCTGGTTCAGAAATCAGGTCAGACTTCCTCCAGCTCTGGCTATGGGCTGTAGCCCACAGCAGTGACCTATCAACCAACCAGACAGAAAGCAATGTCTACAGAGGGGCTACTACTGATGCTAGATTAGTAGTTATTGCTAATTGTCAAACAAATAAATACAATCTTAAACTAACAGAACCACTCTAGTCTCAGTATCTTCTTATACAAGACAGCAGATGACATGAAGAAAGCAAATGGCAGAGCTGGTTGCCAATTGAGGACAGGAGGTGTAGCTGCTCCACTGACCTCAGCTCCCCATAACAGCACAACCAGACCACGACCAAGTGTCTCAGCTGTTAACATAACATCTACTGACTCTATTATTGTTCCTTTATGCCTTAATGGTTGATGTAGCTTTGTTGTATGTACGACTCCTTTGTAAATAATCTTAATGACAACGTTAGCTCTAAGCCTGCTGCCCTTTATGGCAGCAATGTGTGCTTTAGGTATTGCACGTTGCTGCGTGGGCTGAGCTGCAGGGTGTAATTTGCACCCAGTAATACTTGGTGAGAGCTGGTCGCTCTCCCGCCTGAAAGAGCAGAAAACTACAGAGTAGTTCTGTTTACTTGGTTGCTTTAGAGAGCTGGAAAGGAAATTTTCCACCCTAAGAACATCTCAGGGCAAACAAGGGCCCAAGGAGAAAGCCGCAGCAAGAAAGTGATGCGTTTTGCAGAGGAAAATGCACTTAGTCACACTTCTCTGAAAGCAAGCTGTGAGTATTCCATAAGCTCCAACAATACCCCCATGAGGGGGTGAGCACCAGCAGCCCCTCCAGCTTTAACCATGGGTAGGCAGGAATTAACACACAGCTGTTATCCAGAATGGGCATGCCCAACTTAATGAAAGGTATTTTGACATACTATTACTACCAAGGTTTTCCATCTGCTGTCTGTGCCAAAGCAGCTATGAGGTTTCTTCCCCCTCAGATGACTGTTTTGTAGCAAGGGATATATTACATGATAGAGACAAATTTTAAGACTGTGGTCTTCCTTTTGGTGGTTTTCCTTTTGCGATTGAATAGTCATCCTGCCCCTTTCTTTTTTCTGAAAGTTAGAGAGAATCTGAAGCAGACTGTATCATTGAATGGTTTAGGTTGGAGGGGGACTTTAAAGTCTATCCAGTCCCAACCCCCTCACCAGCTCAGGCTGCCCCATCCCACCTGGCTCTGAGCATCTCCAGGAAAGGGGCACCCACAGCTCTGCATGTGATGGCCTCTCTCTGAGTAAAGAATTTCTTCCTAACATCTCACCTAAATCTCCCCTCTTTTAATTTAAAGCCATTCCCCCTTGTATGTGGTAACTTTCCTTATGGTTTGATAAATGGAATCTGGAAATTTCCATTCAAGCCAGTAGGGTTTCTGTTCCTGGAACAAGCTTGATAAAAGTTTTTAATTAGCATTGTAGCTTTTATTTGCTTTATTAGAATGATATGAGTGATGCTTTAGTAGTTCAGGCACACTGCAGAGGGAGCAGCTAACATTTTGGAAAATATTTAAAGTCCCAGAGATGACAAAGGAAAGCATGCATACAGTCCTTAGTGTATTGTGTAAATGTTTTCCTCTGCGTGGATCTCAACTTCCAAGGCACTTTGGTTCCCAGCACGTTCTGGTCTCCAAAATGCAACAGAGCTGCACACATGAGTAAAAACAAGGCTGTTAAACAACAGACAATAGAAACACAAAAGAGCAGACTGTTAAATGAACCAGCTCACTGGAAAAATTGTAAAATATGCAAAAGCACTTATTTAAATACAATTGATAATGAATCATTTTTCCATTTATGAGACAACCCACACTTGAATTTTCCCTGCTCCCTAATGAACTGAATTGACAGTTAGACTCATTTTTTGTTTATAAACTAAGGATGAGTAGCAGGATTTATTAATTTCTTTTGCAATGTTTCTTATTAATTTGAGATTAAAAGAAAATCAAATTAGAGTATGTACAGTCATCATGCATCTAGCAGGAATCACAGCAACTCCCTGTGGGACTAGTTTGTCCTATTAGCTGAAGCAGAAATAGAATACTTACCTTGCAAACTTACTCAGTTTCTTCATATTGCGTAAATACCCTAAGGATGATCCAGAATGAAAATAAAGAAAAATAAACATTGTTCTTTAAACCATCCTAAATAAGTAAAGTTACAGGTTTAGCCAAAAAAAAAAAAAGTGCAGGAAACGAAATTAGGGAACTTTAAGCCGAGGTTTTCAGTATAGGAAATCCCCATAAGTTCCATGAAGTTAAATTCATGTGGTTTCATCTGACCAAGAGCATTTAAGGAGAAAGTCTGGCACATGAAAAACACTGGGTATAGTGACATGAAACCAGGGCCTCCTTCCTTATCATTGAGAAGGTCAGGGACAACACAGGCAGTGCCCACGAGGAAAGGAGCAGCGCAGGGGATGTGGGTTTGTACCACGTCTCCTCACCAGCTCCAGGTAAGGGGGACATAAGCTCACTTTCATGGCACAGGAGACACGTGTGGCAAAGTCACAGCTGTGATTCAATGTACCCAACCCACACCTGAATAACTGCCTCTGAGAAGTACTTACGTCTACCTAGGAACAGACCCAAACCGAGGATGAGCAGAAACCCCACGCACAATCCAGTTCTGAGGTAAACACTCTTTTCTGAATACTGCTGACTGTGAGTTGATATGGATGAATTCTGTCAAACACAAAACAAATTAGTGTCAGTGGAACTCAGAGCATAAATCCTATGCAGGACTCAGAGGACATTTGTGCATTTTGTAAAGCTGCAATTAAAATGCACTTGGGAGCAAGAGCCCAACTTGAGATACTAGTTTCAAGAATTCACAACACTTGTGTTGAACCCTGCTGTTAAATATGTTACTCCTTAACACCGTCAAAGAACCTGAGGTTATGACCAGTCCCATTTGTTCACATTTGTTCCTGGTTCCTTTCAGCCCAAGGAAGAAGCCTAACATTTAATACTGTTTGGTGAATATCTTTATTTAATCGTAAGATTAAATATCCCCTGCTGTTTTCCCTCTGCCTCACTTTTTTGCCAGCTTACTCAGTAGTTATGTGGAGCTTTATCCCAGGATGTGAACATGCCTTCACCTTTCAGCACAACTTCCGGAAGCCAGCTGATAGGTATCCAACCACTCCCTAAGAGCTGGGAAGATGCTGAAAGGTAGTGCAGTCCCTGACTTTCTGCATGTGCAGCAATATGAATGCCCACATACATACTACCTTGCAGGACATAACATCAGAGCTTCCCAAATGGTAGCTTGGCTGTTTGCCTTCCTGACAAAAATTAAGATGATGCTACTGCCCATTAACACACAGCATGAGCTGGAGGACTCAGCAGGGCAGATAGGGCTGTGAGCTTGAACCCCGTACACACGCGTGGCAGGTAGATCCCTGTGCTGTCATGTGGTCCATTTTTAACCCTTCCCCATGTCCTGCCGGTACCTGCAGGCTGGAGGTTACTTCTGGGTAGTCTGAGATGCTTGAGTGGGAACCAGAGGCCTGAAAGGCAATACAGATGTTGCTAAAGGTCTTCCCTCTTTAGTAGGAAGGAAACAGTTTTTGCAAGCAAAGCAGTTTGCTTTCTCCCTTTCATAATGACCCCATAAGCATTCTTTTGTAAGCATTAAATATGCAGACTGTAAGAAAATATCTGTTATTTTGCAATCAAAACAAAATGCTGTAATTTAACTGCAGGAATCACCCAGTAACTTCCGATGTCTAAGCACATCATCTCAGTATAGCACAACAGTGATGCTTACAGTCTCAGGAGCTTCTGAAAGAGAAACTGGTGGCCACGTTCTGACAGTAAAGGACGTTTCACTGGCACTCCCAGGAGCTGAGCAAAAGCAAGACAAACCAACATATCACTCTCACAGGAAACCATTCTGCTTGGACAAAGAATGTATGCTACTGACCTGAGACCATTGAACCTAAGTACCACTGTCTGGAGTCTTTGCTGTGTATATTATAAAGATGTTGTGCCATACAAAGGCATTGCAAAATCCCTCCAGTGCCCTTTTCAGAGCTTTGAAATCCTTCCAGGAAACACCTGCTATTATTTCAACACGGAGCCTAAAAAGATGGAGTTGGGCTCTGGATCCCTATCATAGATCAGAGGAGGCAGTGGATGTAAAACTAGATTATTTGATGAAAATTGATAAACACCAGCTCAGGGCCTTGGAAGACAAATTGGTGGAGAGCTGCAGATAGCAAGCTGTACTTTTGAAGTCCCAGATCACAGCTATACAATAAACAGCCGACTGAAGTGTGATACATTTGCATAGGGCATGCAGTGGATTTTGAGGTAATTTCCCAGAGCAGTTTTCAATATTTAAAATAGAGCTACAAACTGCTTTGTTATCCGCATCATCCGTCACCGTTTCTCTGTGTGCTGTCAGATGATACAAAACCCTCCTGAAAACAAAATCTTCTATTCACGTTATGACAATCCCAGGTGGCTCCTTTCATGTTATAAATGGTTAACCTTATGTCATAAGCTGCATTTTGAAGAGTGAGGATCACCTGCTTCACTGTCCTCTTTTTCAAGACAGATGCTGGAACATCCCTACATCAGAGGAACACAGACACCCATCTTTTTAAGTGTCCCCATGCAGAAATTAACTTGTATTCTCAAAAAATTGCTCCCCGGCAGCTAAGGAGGATGTCACATGGTTAAGAAAACCCATGAGAGCTGAGACTGGAAGCCATATCATTTGCAACAAGAATAGAAATGGTTTGAGAACATTTTCACTTCTTCTTCCAAGAAGGAAATGCAAGTGTTGTAACATTTTAGTGTTGCTCAACTGGTAACGTTTGAGATTGAGGGATAGATAAAATAGCATCCCTGATTTTTCTTTCAAAATCCTGCCATTAAGCTGTTATTAACTACGAACTCTGCTGTGAGTACTGGATATTAATGTTGGCTTTTTCAGATTTAAAAAAAGAAGCTGAGTGGTTATATGACAGACATCTATAGATACACACAGTGGAATCAAAGCTGAGTAAGGAATGGATATTCCATCACAATGATGGGCCTCACTTGAGACTATGCATAGACTGCAGGGGATGTGGGCAACCTCTGAGACACAGGCAACAGCAGGGTAAAAGAATACTTACAATACAATATGTTGTATCATAACATTTCTGCTGTTTCTATATTCCTCCTCAATTTTCTGCAGTTGACAGCTAATGGAGATGGGATCCTGAACTAGATATATGTTTGAACCAACCCAGCAACACAGTTCTTTGTTACTTAACCTTAACCAACAAGTGCTTTGATTAAATAGTGAGCACACACACAGATCCTAAAACCTTGTGTTTTATTGTTCACGGGATGCACTTCTGGATGACAAGGTGAGACTTTATACCACAGAGAAAACATATCCTGAAACAGCCACAGGTAAAACAACACTTGAAGCACCAATGAAGCATCTAGTTAAGCCCAACACCTGGGAACAACATACAAGTTCCTTGTGCTAAGCCTCTAAATAATATGAGGTAGAATTTACAGGCCAAGTTCTGATCTCAAGTCCTATGGCAGGTTCAGTAAAGTTTAGCCAAGATATTTCTATCATCTGTCATTTTGTTTCTTTTTTAAGATGTCCATTTGCATATGCTATTGCCATTAATACTTGGAAAAAAGTTACCTGAGGTCGGTGGAGAGGTGTGAGTGAGAGGAGTTGCAGTAGGGACCCTAGCTGGTGTTAGAGAAACAAACAACAGGCATTATAATTAATGTCCATCCATGCAGTGAAAAAAGAGAAAATGTTTCTATAAGAGCGTGCTCAAACCAGGCACACACCTGTGAAACAATTGTTCCTTATGTTATCACGTTTTTTTTCACAAGTAGAGATGAACTAAAACCAAAAGAAGAGTTTCCTTAAAGAAAAATTGTCAGTGCTATTTGCGTATCCCTGGGCTTTACCCTGAAACCCCGCAGAAAAAGATGAAACATTATCTTTGTGTAAAGCCGCAAGTACGGCACTTCAGATACCCTACAGTGCCCTCATTCTTCATTTCTATAAATAGTGCTTCCAAGGAAACTCAGTAGCACTGCATACCATTAAACAAAGCACCACTGCCTTCGTTGTTTGCTTTTTTATTGTTATTACTGCAGTGAATACAACGTTCTCAAAGGCAGATTAGCTTTCACCCAACTAACGGCAGGTCTGCCAGATGCTAAAGACTGATTCTATGGATGATGACAGAAATCGCTTCCTCCACAAGCTTCAAACTCCAAACAGAGCAGCAGTCACTGTGACAGCACTCACCTCTCTCAACCACCACCTGGAGGTTGGTTGTCTTGTCATTGAACCACCCTGGGATCTCCACACGGCAGCAATACGTCCCACTGTCTGTTTCCTGGGCATTCAGGATGGTGAGGGACACGTTGCCCTTCAGCAGGTTCCCTTTCAGCACATACTTTGTGTGGTACCCCTCTGTCACCTTCCTCCCATCTGTCCAGATAATGGGGCGAGAACATTTGGAAGGGGGGCAGGCATCACGGCCCCAGCACACTGAGGTGATGTCATGTTCTGTCCTAACCGTGTAAAAGCAGGGCACGGTGATGTTCTGACCAACCTCTCCCTTCACCAGCAGTCCTGACACCGTAGGGCCTGTGGACAGAAACACAAACATTAAAAGGTCGCGTGCAGCAGGCAAAAAGGTGAAGAGAGAATGGAGTTTGGACCTGCACAGCTCCGTGGCTTCTCTTCAGCCGCATCCAGGTCAATGGGTCTTGGTTTTTCTCTTAGCTTAGATTTAATCCAAACCAGGCATGGGAGAACAGAAAGGCATCATTTTTCATTAAAACTAGAGTAGGAAACCCTTCCTCACTTTCAGTAAAAAGCCACTGAAAGGCAGTTTTCACCAGCATTATAGCTGTGCATTTCCTTTTTTCTTTCGCTAAGAAAGGATTTGGGTTGTGCCTATCAGAAGAGATCTTCCAGAGCTTTCCTAAAAACTTCTGTACCTTCTTTTTTTCCCTAGCTTAAAATCCCCCCTCATTCTTCCCAAGCTTCTAACCCATTCAGTTCCCACAGCATGGGATCCAAAGTGCAAAGATGTTGATTTACCCACATTAACATTTCAGGGATAGAATTCACTGCGGCAAGGATGGAAGTAGGAAATAGTCTAGCAACTAATCATCTCTAATCAAAGTCCCTGCATATCACTGGCAAGGGTGCTGCACTCAGCAGGTAGCTCAACTTGTGCCAATGGATCCCAAGCAGCGCCTGGCTTCATTGCCATTGTTCCTTGGGAAAAAGCAGTCCTGCCCAATTTCATCTCAGCCATGTTTTTCCTAAACTATGCTATAATAATTATAAGTAAGTCTTATGCAAAGATTTTGCCACAGTAACGTGCCAGGAACTAATCCCTGACAATAATGCATTTTATTTAATACAAAAAGGAAACTCTAAATGAATCTCATCATAAAAGGCTTTAGAAAAAACTAGAAGAAAAGTATCTGTAGTCTCTTTTTTGTCTGTTGAACATATCCTACCAAATGTTTCGTGTCCATCTGCCTGTACCAATAGCTCTGCTTTAAAAGGGAGATATGATCGTCAGAATACTGTGATAAAGTTTTACTGAATATGCAAAACAGCAATTGCTGTGCAATGCAACACTCTTACCACCGTAACCCAGAATCTCTCTGCAGCCCCCAAGAAGCACTGATGCACGTTACCTCCCTTCCATCTGCTTCCAGCTATTTTTCACACCCACTGAGTTACCTGTAAGCCAGATCAGAAGGATCCAGTCCAGGAAGTAATGAGAAGACATTGTAGCTGAGGATGAGGAATGCTCTTATTCACTCTTTATGCACCTACATTCAAAATAAACTATCGTTTTCATAAACTGCTGGTTTTACTTCTCAGTACTAGCACGTCAGCTTCAAACAGGATGATGCCCTTTGGTTTGATCAGGATTGCCTTTCCTGTGGTTAGTCTGTTAGTCACTGACGCTGCTGCTGCTGAGAACGCATGCAGCTGAATGCTTGCTGACTGTGGTTTGACTATAAGGTTAAAATACTCAGCAGCACTTCAGAAATCTACTTCTCTTTTTTCCCCCCCAGATCTACTTGCTTATAGCAGGTTAAACTGTTAGTACCACCAAGCTGTCACCACCAATAATCCATTGCCTCAAGATGGGTTCCCACACCCAGAAGAGATTACATAAGATGTGTAGCAGACCAGTAAACAGAAATCATTCAGCAATGTAAGAGGGTCTTAGGAATTATTAAACCAGCATCTAATCCTAAATTCTGCTTCTAACATTGCTACTTTAAACAAATGTGATATCCTTTACAGCAGGAATACTGGAAGCTTCCACTTCACAGGTGTAGACTAAACAGAGCTGCAGCCTCTCATCACTCAGCTCTTAGAAGTTCGGCATGATTCTGAGCTTTTACCATACCGAGTAACACACAGCACAGAAGCCATCTGAAAAGCTGGGTGGCAACAGTGGTCACTAGGAGAAATGTGTTACTTAAAAAATGGTTTTTCTGGCCACTCTGGGTTGCCCTGAGTGAGGACATGGAGTCTTAATATCATTCAGTCTGATTCAGAACTGCAGCTGTGATCAAACATGATCCATAGCAAATTCACGTTCTCTGCTGAAACAGATGATCTGCTTTTTATACAGACAAATTAAGTGGCAAGGAATGACTTTTTAGAACTAACAAATAAATGCAGCCAAGTGGCAGAGCTACACCAGCAACATATCTGCTGGAAATGGATGGAAGAGGGAGAAAGGGCAACCTGTGCGTGCAGATTTATGACTGGACAAGAACACACTTCCTCTCTGCTGCTCCTGCTTCTGGGGAGACAGGACACTGTAGGCAGCTTTTACAGACATTGTGCTGACCATTACCAGCAGTATCCTGGGACTGCCCTGCAACAACAGAGTTTAGCTTTGTTTTTCCTCCCTCTGAATGATCAAAACTTCCCCTTTTTGCTCACTGACAACACACTTGCCTTCCCTGTTTCAAACAACTGCATTTATCCCCGAGCTCACTTGGTGTTATAAAAGAACCAGCTTGTTGTTGTTTTAAAGCAGCATTTTGTTCACTCTTCTTAACATCCGACATTACCTTTATCCTCCTGAGTTTTGTAATTTTATAATCCGATTCACTTCATACATTAACATTTCACAGAAATAGAATACTTCAAGTATCATCATCACATCCAACAGCAACATCAGAAGGTTTGTTTTTTTTTTTTCTTTTTTTGAGGTTAAGAAAGACCTCATCATCATGAGTCAGCTAATTAGAAGAGACAACATTCATAGCTTCACTTTGAAGTCAGTGAGTCACATCCTACACAATCTGAAATGCAGCTCCCATACAAGGCATAAATCACCCACTGCCTTCACTGCAGCTACAGTTGAATTGTTGGTTTTTTTGCAAGAGAGCCATCATTGTATTGATGTGACAAAAGAGAGTTGCCATTTTGGCTGAAGAAAAGCTCAGAAAGTACCGCGATCTCCTGCAGGTATTTATCTCAGGGTTTGCCTTAAAGATAGACCCCAAAGAATATAGAGAAAATTATTGCTGAAACTTCTTGGAAAGTTGAAAGCAGTCTTATGATTTTAAACGACTCGATCCCCAATTACTTCATTGCTTTCACCAGTAGTTAATTATGACTACTGGTTACTGTTAGAACCCAGCCTATAGTTGGAAGTACAGCACTTGGGCCTTCAACTTCATTAGAAACATAAAAAGTGAAAGAAAAAAAACAAATACAAAAACAACCAAAAAAAGACCTTGGGCATCTATAGCATTGAATGGCAGAGTTAGAACATCTGTGGCAAAGTAACTCCACACGCATGATCGCTTATCCACAACACACTAAAGCTGTTTCTTCCTATCTTCCACTTGGGGAGCATTTGTAAAGCAGACACCCAATTAATTCAGCTGACCCACAGTAGTTCTAGGTACTAGAAAACAACTGTTCAGACAGTTCAGGGAGAAGGAAAGAGTGGGAGCTGCATAGAGGTCAAAAGTTTTAACTTCATGAAGTTATTTATAAACATTTCTGAAAAAACATGTTTTCTCTTTACTATTACTTACATCACACGTACTTGAAATAGCAGATGAGTTCCTGCTGTGAGTCACCCGTTTGCTTCAGTTCATCTTTAGCTACACTGATCTCAATCCCACCACCCAACAGTTAAGATCTACCTTCTCATTTAAATAAATGTGCATGCCTGAAAACAGCTGAATGATCTCATGTATCGTTTGCATAACGAGTGTTAAAAATAGTTTCACTAAGTTCCCTCATCCACAAAGTTAACCTTTTTTTCTTTTAAGGTGCTACATCAAGTTTGGAAAACATCATGCTACAGACAGGAGGAGCTGGGTAAAGAAGCCACTTCATTATCAAATCACTCTTTTCCACTTGCCATAAGCTTGATCCAACTGCAGTTCTCTTTAAACATGACTGATTTAGCTTCCATTTTACAGACTTCAGGAGTCTTTCTAACTTGAGATTTCTCAGTTAGTATAAAAGCTAATTATCCATTTAATCAACTTAGCTGTAGAGAACCACAACTTCACAGATCTAAACAAGACAAGTTACACCACAACACATACATAACAAAACAATTCTCTTTCACACTGTTACATTAGTACAAAGTTAGACAGGAATAGATTTCCCAGATTTAACATTGATTTAATTTTTAATATAGTGTAACTGAAAAGACTCATTTCAAATGTAAACTAACATTTATTTGAAATCCAGGAACTGTCAGCTTCAATTTCAGTCAGTCAGATCCTCTGCTTCCACAGCATAAGGCATTTACAAGATGAAGCATGTCCCAGAAAGCTGTAAGTGACAAAACAATGTTCTACAAAAAAAAGCTAACTTCAACAGCATCCACACAGGACAAAGCATACGTTGTTGTTTTTACCAATACGCATACAGCCCATACAAAATATTAAGTACCTACAGCTGCTTAGCAACTCACACCCACCCCACCGTAGGTGCGAATGTTTCAACTGCTGGCACAACAGAAAAACAAAATACAGCATATACCCTCACAGCCATCTGGCCTCTGTATTGTGTGCTAACATAATAAATGCTTCCTTCATGTCATTTCATCAATAATGCTACACATAGCTGCATCTTTGTCTAAAACCTGATCTCTCTTGCAGCCAGAACGTTCTCTCTGCTTCTCACTCTGTCCAATGCAGCTGTTGCCATCATCAGCGTCCATTGGTTCTGTTTTCACTCCCAGTCCTCCCTCTGAATGAGGGAGATCATCAGGCAATGATGCCAGGCAGTTCTGAATCATCTCCACAACTCTCTCTAAATGCTTCTGAAATCGCTCTGCAGTTTCCAGACGCTGACGTTTCTGCACTTCCATCATGACTCTCAGGGTCTCCCTAGCTTGGTGGGGACGGTACTCATTTATAAGATGATGCACATGAACAAACAGCAGTTTCAGGTCCTCCAGTTTCTCTTCTCGCTTTATACTCCCTGGACTCCTTATCAAGATATCCAAGAGATCCAAAAAGTTGACCAAGATAGACATGTTAAGTTTCCTTAATTCCTTTTTGTGATCAAACTGCATCGGATGCAGCCGTTCAATACCCTGGCTTTCCAAGGGTCGGATAATTAAGTCATCACACTGGAACTGATTACCAAACATCATGTAACTGTCTTTCACAGGTGGAGGTGGCTTCGGTGCCAGACCTTTACGTATGTTTTCATCAGTATATTCTTTTATATATTGCATTGGAGGTGGAGGAAGGGCACTCACTTGCTGAGGTTCACCCATTTTTGCAGATGAAAATACCTAGCAAATACCAAAGAAACGTACATTAAATAACTTATGTGACAACTATGCAGCATGTAGAAAGCAGCATACAGCTAGCTATGAGAAAACACACCAGACAGGAGATACTTCAGCGTGCACAAAATAGTAAACTCTCCAATAAATCCACGTTAGCTTTCTACTGAAATACACAGCGCTTCCCAAACCAGATCTGCCAGTGAAGAGGCACAAGAAGGAAGGCCCGGCCCACCGCTACGGCCAGGCTCCGGGAAGGCCCAAAAGCCGCACGGCGGGGCTCGCCGGGCCGCTGCTGAAGAGAAACAAAGGCGGAGGCCGCGCTCGGCAGGAGCCCGGCGGCAGCTGGCCAAGGAGCCGGCCGCGCACACAGGGCGCACACAAAGCACTCCCTCACCTGCCCACCTGCCGCTCTCCGCTGCAACCGCCAACACCTGACTTCCGGCGAGCAGCTCTTCTTCCTCCTTCCTCCCATTGGCTCGCAACTCAAGCAGGGTGACAGGCTCTGATTGGCTCTCCTCAACGCCAGTCAGAAGCTTGCTCCACTCACAGCCAGGGCTCATTCGGGAGGCGGTGCGGAGCAGGGTTCGCATCGCGGCGGGGGCGTTGGGGAATGGTGCCCTCTTGCGGCTGGGAGTGGCGCGGCGGGGCTCTTAGCCGGGATCTCAGCAGGGGTCCCAGCACGGGTCCTCCGGCGGAGGCAGAGATGGGAGCGGACGACCTGACTTTTGTAGGCATCAGACCCTCCGCGAGACTTACTTCTGCATGTTTAGTGTTTAGTATTCCAACTGGAAAGCCAGGACTGCTTTCATAAAATCATAGAACATCCCGAGTTCGAAGGGATTCATCGAGTGCAGCTGTTGGCTCTGCATGGAACCACCTAAAAATCAGTCCGTATGCCTGAGAGCATCATCCAGACTCTTCCTAAACTCTGGTGAGCTCGGTGCCAGACCCTGAGGAGCCCGTCAGTGTGATCCCAATGCTTTAACCATTGAATGATGCAGCAGAGACTTGGGTGTTATTCTGGTCACGAAATGAAAGCATTGCCCTGGGAAGTGTTAGCATCCTTTCTATAGCTGAACACACCCAGCCTGGATGCACAAAGTCTGCAACAAACCGCTGGGACTTCTTGTTTTTCTTCCATTTTTGTTTCAGGCAAAGTTCAAGAAAAAAAAATAGAGGATTTATGTACTCCACATTGCCATGGGAATCTGTGCTGGCTGGCAGCATCTCTGCAGATGGCCACTGGTGTGGCAATGGGGCATTTGTGCTCTGATTTCTTTTTTCCTCAGCAGATGGCAGTAACATCCCTCATCCGGCAAGAGAACCCCTGTCTACGTGCCCTATCATGTGCAGAGTTGCTATTTGGGATCATTTTGGGGGGGAGGAAATGTTTTAATAATGAATACCTAAACAGTTAAATAAATAATCCAAATTTAAAAAAAAAAAACCAACACTCTACAGTTGAGGTAGCACTGAAAATGAGTGTAAGCCCCTGGCATCCAAAGAGGCATTCCAAGGATTGATGTGCTTTAGCATTGCTGTACAGTATTTACACATTTAAAAACATATTGCTGATGACTTCAGCCGTTAGCTCATTTCTTAGTAAAATATCAGTTTGTTATTCGGTCTTTATTAAAGGTTTATCCCTATTTTTTCTCTCTAATCACACGGATTGATGCCATCAGAGTAGTAGTAGTTTAGTATTTATCCACATGTATGTATGTACAGATATAGCCTGTCATATTTTCAAATATAGACTCAAGGATTTCTCTTTTTCATGTAACTAGGCATGCACACTGTCCAAAGAAGGATATTCTTGCCATTCATTAGTTGCCTACAATTTCGGTTTAGGGAAAAGTGACAAGTTGATTTGAGTGAAATCTGTATTTGTCAATAATCTATAGACTGCTGGATCTGATGCTTTTTGATAACAGAAGCAACATCTTCACATTTTCTGCCCTCGGTACCAATAATTCTATTTAAAGAGTGAGACAAAAGTCCTTACATGAAAGATCTTCTGGTGCCCCAAGATGTGAATTGACAGAGTGTTCTCTTCAGAAACACATCCATAACGATTGAAATGGAACAGGCACTGAGTAGTATAAGCTTTGAACATTCTGTTCAGCCTCAGGAGGTTGGGTGTACAGAAAGCTCTTATTCTTTGTGTGCAAAAAGCCTAATGGTCAGCCATGTTGTGCAACACAATGCAGAAAGAACATAATAGCTTGATGTGGTTTGGCCACATTGCTTTCTGTTTTCAGCATTTCAGCACTGTACCTGTGAAAACCATCCCTTTGAAACATAAGAGTTATGCTAAGATATTTGAAAGAGCCACCTTAAAGAAAACTGGAGAGAACAAAAAGTTATTTGATTTCAAAATAAATATTATATGCTTTTTGTTTTGTTTTTCAATCAAGACACACTCAAAAAAGTTGAGGAACAATGTTTAAAAAATTGCTACTATTCACTACATCCCTACCATGGTTATGGAACTCCATAGACTGAAGGGATCCTCCACATGTAAAGTTTAAGCTGGGTCCCTGGTAGTCTCTCATGCCATGATTTTGCTGTTCAACATGAACCAGTCATTCAAACTCCTCATATTAAGACACAAGGTCCTTTGGGATCAATAGGACATTTAAGAGACCTTTAATTTTCATTCTTAAAATCCAAATTCATTATCCCATAACTTCTTTAATCAGTTTGTGTTCCAGTCAGGTAAGAGGCCAACAGTCTGGAGCAAAAAATCACACACAATCACCCAGTTGTTTCTAAATACTACTTCAGTGCATACAAGTAATCATTTTGAAGAACAGAAAGAGCTCCAAGATGGAGATACAGATCTTAACACACAGATATAAAAATATGGAACTGAGAACATGGTTTTCTGATAATGGCAAGGGCATGGTTCCATGCTGCAACTAGACAGCTGCTGATTTCAAAAGAGGAGCTCTCATTCCTTCACCTTCTATCGGGTTCTGCTCTGCTTTCTTCCTTCACTGCTCCTCCAGCCCTGACTTCTGGCTGTACAGCCTTTTCCTGTCACTGCTTTGTAGGATCACTGACAGGCGTTGGTTTGCAAAGCAATCTATTGCAACTCCAAACCCCACAGACAAGGAATTAAAAGCACCACCTCCAGAGTAGCATGAGAAAACCAATCTAGTAGGAGGCATTAACAAGTCTTTGGTTTTGTTGGACTTTCCGGACTGTGATTTCACATTCTTATACCAAGAGCTGAGCTCGATTATCAGCTGGTTTGCACTCTGTGAACCACGTAGTACAGCTCTAAATGCTGTGACTTCAAAGGGTAGAACGTAGTAAAGAGCCAAGCACTTGTTTTTCACATGGTCTGTGTGATCTTGAGTCATTTTCCCAGTTTGCACGTAGTGGCCAACAAATGAAAGAAGAAAAAGGGTTTTCATTTTCATTCTTGGTAGCATGACTGATTCTCAGAAGGCTCTTGGATGACCCTTCCCAGCATGTTGGGAGCTGTTAACATTTTCTCTGCAGTGGTTCCAAATGAGAGACTGAGAATGAAGGCGAGTGTCACACATAGCACTCTCAAATTTGCTTTCTACTGCATTTCTGCTGTTGTCTGAAATAAAGTCACTGTCCAAGACAAGTCCACCACTGATAATACAGCTCAATTACTACAGCATCTGCAAATTGTTGGAATGAACCTATCAGTTCATTCACCAGTTCAGCAGATGGGGAGTCACTTAAACAATGTTCTCTGCCACAAAGACAGAAGATCTTAATTTATTGCTTTAGTTTCATTTATTTTAGTTTTATTCATAACTAATTTCAGACAAATTGCCATGTTTCATTATCATTATGTTCCCTTAATTCAGCAAGTGTGTACAGCAGTGCACTGTTATCATATCATTATCATTTCATCATCATTTGAATTCAGGAGGTGTACAACCACAGTAAATACAAACTCCATTTTCACATAGCTCTGCTCCCTTCTATGATGGAACATATTTCTGCAATTTTTGATTGTCACTGCAGTCTAAATAGTAGATAAATAAAATTTGGTTTGTTGTTGTTTGTTTTTTTTTTTTTCTTTTCCTAAGTATCCTGAAAGAGAACTTCAATATAAGACAGAGTTGCGATCTCTTGCTTTGTTTAGGTCGTTTCATCTTACAGCCTGGTTAAGCAACAAGCTCAGGAACTTCCTTTTTTGATGACTGTTGAAGGCTTCGTTGCAGGACATACCTGGGAGGAGGGGAAGAGAAAAGGAGCCTATTGGGGGTGAGGGGTCTTACGCTTTATGTCTCCATCTGCTGTGGTTAATTCCCATCTCCTGCTGTGGCTGTGGGAATTAATGAATTTGAAATGCAGTGCTATGCTGCATTTTCTTTCTTATTCCTCAGACCAAAATATCAGCTTCAGCCAATTGTACACTTACAAACATAGGAGAGAAGCTTTGTGTTTACCCTCATATAAAAACTGGGACACACCATTCTTCAGTACACGAGAGTTGAACTGCTCTTTGCTATACAATCTGTGACTACTGGTATCTGAGTAGATGAAGAACTCAGCACAGTCTGAACAGTTTTTTAGTCATGAAATAGATACGTCACTACTTGTTCATGGTTCAAAATCCAGGCATATTTTATTGGAATCAGCCAGCACTCTTTCCTGTGTTCATAGTCTATTATTTCTGGAAGCAGATCCTCTACCTGATTATTAAGCCAGGCATTAATGTGGGGTATTTACACAGTCAGAAGTCTGTGATGACTGCCTATTCTAACTTGTAAATGAAAATGTCTCCAAAACTGTGTCTGTATGGCATGGAGAAGTACTCCTTACCCAGCCATCAGCATCCTGGGTAGCTGCCTGCAGGCCATGCTGCCAGAACAAAATGCAGGATTTGAAGCACTGCAGATTTTCCAGCACTGTAAGTCATGCCTTTGTCTTCAGAAGCAAATAGTAAGGGACAGCAACCTTGTTAGGCAGGCACTAACAGAACAACTTAGAGCAAATTTCCAGTTTGGATACAACCCCATGCAACTATATTTTCCCTTCTGTATTTTCGCCTAGATGAGAACAGCTGAGCAAAGGATTATTTTGTACTTATATCACAGAACAAGTACAATCCCTGTGCAAGTTCAGTGGTTTAAAATGTGTTCCCTATGTTCCTGGGAATATCAGCAAACCTATGAGTGATTTGCTTCAGGCATTCAAATCATGGATAATTCACTGTATCCTCCTAGCAGATGCTCAGAACAAGGCCCTACTTTCCTAGGGCTCACAAACGGTTCACAGAGGAATCCTACTCGAGTTCCAACAGAGCAGCTCTCTTGGTCACTGGGAGCAGTGTGAGCACATTCAAAGGTGCAGTTGTAAGATCAAGAAGAAAGCTAGATGCATCTGGCTTATAAAGACCAATTCTTTCTATTCCAATCCTTTCCTTATTTTTCGGCAGCTTTCTGGTTTGTTCTGTGAGTCTACTGCAGACATCTTTGTTGGTGGAATAATGAATTGCCAAAGATGCAAACCAGCTGAGTAACTTAAACAGAGTTTCTCACACTCTCTAAAAAAGCTAAATAGGAAAACGGAATGAATTCTGGAAGCCTGGAAATTGAATAATAATCACTGTAATGAACAGCTGGTGAAAAGTAAGAGCTGCCACCCAGACAGAAAATCTGACCTGAATATTACCTGAGAGGTAGAAGTGTACAGGTTGTCTTCTGAGAGTGAAGATGTAGTTGCTGTTTTCCAGTCTGGTTTTTTTTTTCTTCTTTTTTTTACAAAACCAAAAACTATCTATATTTAACTTCATAAATTTCTCTGCTGTCTTCAGGGCATAAGCACTGGTATCACAGCAGGATGTGCGGGTGGGGAGATTTCCACAGACTACAGTAATAAAAGTGTGAACTGCATAATCTGGGTAAATCCCCTAAGAAAAATCCAATCCCTAAAATAACCTGTTTTAGAGCAGAAATCAAGCATTTTGCAGGAGGTAGCAAGGGATGGACAAAGGTGATTAAAAGAAATCAAAAAGAGGTCGCTGAAGTCACAGTTGATAAGGATAACTTTACAGAATCACAGAATGGTTTGTGCTGGAAGAGACCCTTAAGATCACTTAGTTCTACCCCTCACTTGTAACATCAATTTACCAAGCAGAGAGAATTTGATGCACATAGCAGATCAAACTTAAATCTGAAAAAATTTGCATTTTTCTCTTTTCTTGCATATGAATTAAACGTGTGAAAGGATACATGTCAGCAGAATCTATTAAAAAAACCTAAGCAGAGAAGATAACTAAAAAATTCATTAAGCTGTCTCCTCATCTTAAGGGATATATACTTACAGTGGTTTTAAGATACTTTGGGCAGTTCTACTTAATTCCTTTCCATTACATATACAAAATTTCTGAGACATACAATATACTATGTTGCAAAAATCTATGAACAAAAGGAGCATACCCATACAGCTGGTGTACTCCTGCACCAACTTACAACATCAGGTTCCAGCAATGAAATACCAGTGTTAGCATGACGTTCCAGCTGACCCTTCAGAGGCCTTTCAGGAAGCTGTCTGGTTTGCATTTTGAGTCTACAGACTTGTCTGCACTTCTTCCAGCTCTGAAACAATTTTGATTCTAGACACGGAGGGTATTTCTACCTAACTATTCTTTTGCACCACTGTGGGAGGATCTTGAAGCTCCTCAATGGCTGAGTCTTCTCTTAAAAAGAATCATGTCCTGCTAGTCAGGATGTCATCCTCCTAATAGAAAGATGACAACATTTGATTTGCATCTACACTTTATGTATTGAAAGAAACAAAGAATTTCATTTAAAAAATGAAAAATTTCATTGTAAAATTGAACAATTTAAATTGTTCATTTAACAATCTTTGAAATTAAATACACTTCAAATATACATACGCAGGTTACTCACTCATAAAGGTGTAATTAAACAAATACAGTTATTAGACTGTACATTTTTGTACATACATGTCAACCCAGCCTTAAAATCATTAAACTACATTCTTATTTGGATTTTGGCTTGCTACACTTAAAGATATGCATGTTTACTACACATGGGTTTGGGGACTGAACTGAAAAAGGAACAGGAAGGTGTAGATCTGTGGCGAGAGTGGATACAAAAATACCCCAGCTCCTACATTCTTCCCCATATCAGTGAAGAGTTGGAAAGACCACCAAGATCACCCAATCCAACCATCAGCCCTTGCCTGTGACGACTCCAGATGGTGTTGCTCAGTTGCCCTTTGCTCAACTCTTTTCTTGAACAACTCCAGGGATGGTAACTCCTCCAGCTCCATGGGCAGCCTGTTCCAAAACCTCACCGCTCTTTCATTGGAGAAATTTCTCCCAGTATCCAACTCGAATCTCCCCCTGGTTCAACTTAAGGCCATTAAATTTGCAAAACAAACAGCAGCTCTCAGTGAAATCAACTATAGTAGCATCCCAATCTGCTTATGTTTACTTGTTTCCTTCTGTTCAATCTACTGAGCCATCCTCATCCTCATCTGGAATTCACCATGGCTAATCTCACCTGCTGAAACCTGCAAATTCTGACACAACTACCAGATCCTCTATCTCTCCAGGGCAAAGTTAATGATTTTTTTCTTATAGCAACCTGTTTCTTTCTTCCTATATGTTTGTATCAGATCCACAACTTCTCTTCCACAGCTCAGCCTGTCCAGTTGATCTGCACAGAGCCAAATCTGATCTGGGCCTCGATTCTCTCTCTGTCCAACCTGCAGCGTTGTGTCAGTTTCCCATCAGACCAACACATCGCATCACACCATGTTCAGACCATATGAAACGCAATTGCCAAATCCTGCTATCTGAACATTTGATCAAATCACTCCCTCCTTCATACCCCTCTGTGATCTCATTTCTTATCTCATGAAGAAATCAAGTTGCTGCCACTGCATTTAAAGAATTACTCCCCCCACTACTTGCCAGCCCCGCCGAATCTCTTCTCCCTCCACATCCTCTTGCCCTCAGTACTGTTGCTCCACTGAGGCCACCTTGTTGGCTTCTCCACTTCTTTGCTGTCCTGGAGGCTTCACTTCTGCAGAGCTGCAGAATCATAGCCTTGACTTTCTATTTATATCCACTGTTTTGAAAATACATGTAAATCTCCAACTGCAAACCCCTGCAGCACAAGCTCTGAAGACTTTCCAGAAAGTTCTTGCTACACAGAAGTCAACAAGACTGGCAAGAATGAAGTCTTACAGTGTGTGAGGGCACTTTACAGCCCATGTTCCTCTTTAACAGTTATGAGAACGGATCTCTAAGCATACTTCCAACAAGCAAATTCTTACAGATAAGGAAATGGATGCGCACACAAAAGTAACCCTATGCTTTAGAGGTGCAAGCATGCAAATGAGATCTGCATGGCTGCTGTTTATATAGAGTGCAATTTTAGAAAACTCACAGAAAGCTGATTTTTGATTTTTATTTTTAATATACATTTGCATTGTTTCCTAGAAGATTGGGAAATTGGGCCCTGGTATTAATCCTACTCTACAAATAGTTATGAAATCCCCTTTGGCAGCAGTGACATTTTTTTGGGAGATCACAGACTTGTGTCATCTTTCTTGTTCAACCAAAAGACTTCCTTGTAACTCAGTCACTACCAGGAAACAAAACCATTTCACTAGATTTGTATGAGATGTTTCAACTATGCTGTGACCAATGCTGAGACCACCAGGAGGTATATGTAGGTGTGAGCCATGCAGTAGCTACTGTTCCTCTCCATTTCTATTCAACGGTACAGCATGGCCAGGAGCAAGTCAGATCAGTGCATTAGATGCTATATTTAATTGTATTCTTATGGTAAATATCATTTCTCAACTAGCATTTTAAAAGATGAGGAACTTCTGAGGATCTCTGGAATATTCTGCCTGAAGAAAGGCTCAATATAACATAAAATAGCAAGGAAGCAGTAGCTTACCTGCTTGGTTTTGGGTTTGGCTGTTTCAGTTTGGTTTTTGAGAGGAATAACCAGAACATTATATTCAGAACTGCAGTTTCATGAGCTGCCCTATAAAATCTTAAATTAAACAGAGCCTGCAATTTGGATATTTATTCAGATTTTTTTCCCCCACACGTTAAATGGAGTATCACCTCTGAATTTTGCAGAGCTCTACAGATACATCAAATTTAGGAAGGTCTCTACTTATGCCCTAACACTACACCAATGTCAAAAGTCTCAGTAGTAAACGATTTAGCCCAGAATAGTTTTCAAAAATACATAATTGATGAAAATATTTGTCTTGTAGATTCTTCACATACCACCCAATCCTACTACTCGGTGGAATCAACACTACAATTATGCATCACTGACAAAAATATATGTACAGAAGATATTAAATACGGAAGGGCAGAAGAAAATGAATTGCATTTCTTTTAAAACATATCAGTGCTGTCATACTGAGTGCATCAGGTGCACATTACTTTTCCTTTAGTAATTCTATATTTAGTTTGGTGTGGAGTGACCCAAATGGTACCTGAATTCTGAGGAAACCAGTTACACTGGCTTTGATGTTTGTGCTCTCTTCTCATTACAGTGATCTCAAAGCATCCACAGAGGAACATCATGCCTGTTCTTCCTGGGATACCCAGCCACCAGACAGAGCACTTGAAGCGGTCAGTAATCAGTGAATAGTAACCAATGATAATTAATTTTCTGTTATTTTAACCATTTGTTTTCAATTTAAACGTCTAATGACTACAAATATTAAGCAATCCTTGTACAAGTAAATCCTGGTTATCATTTTTCTCTTAGCTTGTACGTTCAGTTGCTGCCTTTTGCCTTTGCTTGTGCAATACGAATTTTCACTTTACATAGAAAATTTACTTAAAACACTTTTTATGACATCCCTCAAACGCAACATAATGATTACATAGTCTGAATGGAAAGGCACTATTCCTTCAAAAAAGTATGGATGCACAACCTACTCCTAAAAGGACCAGGGAGTCATTCATTCTATGTATCTATGCTCTGCGTGTGCATTTATAACTGTATTTACTAGAAGAGACAGATGCTTCATCATGTCACACTCTTCTAATTCATCCCTAATCATTGATTCACATTTATTGAATGTCCCTCAAATGTTATTTTTTCCATAACATTTGCCCTAGAGTTCGCTTCAGCATGTGCTATTCGTTTTATGAGAGGATGTGGTTATGGTTTGGCAGAAAGGAAGCTTTGCTGTAGATGGAAAGATAAAGCTTAAAGCACCTACGCTGCCTTTTGAATACTTTTTTTTTTTTTTTTTTTTTTTTTTTTCAGAAAAAAGCAAAACTCTCAACTGTCTTCCTCCTTGTGTCTCTTTCTGGGACGAGTGCTCAGCGCGTAGGGCAGGCACCTCATGTCCTGGGAGAGAACCATTCTTTGCCCAGACATGAATAACTGTGTGCTCCTGGAAGAGCAGCTGATCAAAAAATCCCAGCAGAAGAGAAGGACTTCACCCTCCAACTTTAAAGTGCGCTTCTTTGTCTTAACCAAATCTAAGCTGGCTTACTATGAACATCGCCATGGGGTATGTCAGCCATTTTTTCCTCTAATATTAGAGTAATGAAGGGAAGGATGAACTCTTTCTTATATTTGAGTAACATTTCTGGTTTCTGTTACAGCATCACTTGCTGAAAATTGTAGAGTGGTCACATGAGTTCTTCAGATCTTCTGGTCAGTGGGCATTTGGTGCAAATGGAAGAATAAGACTACATTGTGACTTCATAGAAAGTGTCTAATTCTGTTGCAGGAATTTAGCACAGGCTGTTAAAATCACTGCCTGTAGCAGCTACATGAGCCTCAATCTTACATTTCAAAATAAATTCAGCTGCTGTGCTTAACAGGCCTAGGTTTGAGTTAACACCAAAAGGGATGTGATGACAAGATACATGCTCAGATTCGGCACCGTTTCCTCAGGCTTGCATTTCCCTGATTCACTAAAAAAGAAGAAATTCAGAAGTCAATGCATGCCCTATTATGCTAAGTGTTCTAGTGAAGCGAGAATTATTTCCCCATTCTGTTTAGCTGGATGTTTGCAGAGCCTCAGTATGGTTGTATATAATATTGCTTGTTATCCAACATAACATGCTGTTAATCCATAAAGTTCAGGCACTGTTACTGTGCACAGACCATCAATGGGGATCTTGTTGCCTTGCTATCCAGTACTGGCACCTTCAGACCATCTCATATCACTTAGACAAAGAAAATTAAGTTAAAACTGAACCCAACAAAGAGCGAAGTATAACGGATACCAGCTTCAAAAGTTAACTAACATTCTTATTTTCAAGTTATTTCTCTCAAGTGTGCACAAGATACTTTTCTTCCTTTTATTTTATGAGACTCTACTTGACTGCTACTCAAACTGTCTTTCAGTTGGCATTAAGATTTTAAATTCTATTATAACTGTTCTATTCTAGCCTAGTTAAAATTTTCGAAAGCATTTCAAAAGTAATTCTGCTGTAGGCACTTTGAGGAGTTTTTACCCCTAGTTTTCACTGGTGCTTGGTGAATCTTGAAGGATTTGAGGAGGACTCAACACATATTTTGCTTAGATACTTTTGAAAACTCACACTAGCTGAGTGTTTGCATCTTTAGAGACTTAGATCAGTTGGAAAATCTGATTCAGAAACTTTCAGCTGGGCATAGATTTCATATGCTACATTATTACCTTTGGAAATTTTGTCCCCAAGTCTTCCTAAAGGTCAATTAGGCAACTCGAGAACATCTTAAAATGCTGATGAAATAAACATATAGAAGGTTTTAAAAGGCATTCTGTTACATGACAAATGCAAAATCTGATTGCGCACCAAGTGACAGCTGACCTACCATTGTATATATGTGTGTGCTACATACAGGCTGGGAGAAAACAGTTTTAAGAGAGGGGAGACTTAGGTTAGATATTAGGAAGAAAATCTTTCTTCATAGAGTAGAGAGGCCCTGATGCTGCTGCCCAAAGAAGCTGTAGTTCCCCATTCCTGGTGCTGTTCAAGGCCAGGTTGAATGGGGCCCTGGTGTGAGGCGTCCCTGCCCAAGGGAGGGGGGTTAGAACTGGATGGTCTTTACCTAAAGACCTAAACCATTCTGTGGTACTATGATTCTGTGAATGACCATATGCATATATGTAATTACAGAGATTATTTTCCATAAAGCAATAACTTTTTGCTGAAAAAAATTGCCAAAAATCAGGTCACTACACAAATAGAAGGACTTTGTATTGAATGTGTAGAAAAAACTTTGTCCTGTGACATACTCCCACAAGAAAGTCTCAGCCTTTTCAGCCAAAAATTAGATCATCCTGGTCAGGCTTCCATGTTGGGAGGTCATGGTTGTTCTGGAGGCAAACTTAGGGCAGACTGTCCCAGCATCCTCTTGTCCCATGCTAAGAACAGAGTGAAAGCCCCAGAGAGGATTCCACAGCCCATGAGAGGACAATTACAGTACCTGCCTGACACATGAATAATGTCCATTCTGATGAGCCAACCAGGACCAAGGAGCATGCGAGAAAATCAATGGTCTGCAGTGCTAAATCTCCAGCACAGGTTTAGGTCTGCTCCACATAGACTCTCCAGTAATTGGTGGGAATAAGACAGACTGTGGATTATTGGAAACTGGCAGTTTGCTTGAGGTCCCTTTGCCCTGGCTGTACAGAAGGCAAAGCTTTATGGATGCCAGCTTGTCTCTGCCTACTTGCCATAGAGATGGAGAGTATCCTCAGGCACGTGTGCTGCAATGGATAGATGGGACCAGCTTCTGCCTGGGCTCTTAAAGTACTTTTTTTTTTTTTCCAGGGAAATCTCTGTGGATCTGCCAGAGATTTCAAAGAGTTTCTTAAAGAACTCTTTACTGTACTCAAGAGTTCAGTACTATACTGTATCCCCTATTCTGTCAGTGACTGCAGCCTATACATAAATTCAGGTAAAACAATTAGCAAGTTACTAAACAATTTAAAAAATCCAAGTGGTTTCAATGATGTGACTTAAAGTAAGGCATATCCTGACATGTTAAGTACAGTTACACGTTTTGTCTGTATTTAAGGGGTTTAACAACCTGTCCCTTTCTCTGGATTCAGACATCGTGAATATAAAAGGATGCATAGCTTACTGTAGCAGTCCAAAGCAAAGAAATAACCAGGTCAGGTTAAGAGGTACAGAGACTATTTAGGAAATTATATCAAAAGCTGTCAAGACATCCAACATAATAAAGGCAAATTTTTGCAATAGCTGTAATGGCATTTTCTGTCACAGCAGCACACAGCTAAACAGAAGGCACTGTTTTCCTCAGAGCCACGCATACAATCGCTGTTAATGTTAATGAAAGATATTTACATGTCTCATTAGGAGAATGAGCCCCCAATAACTGACAACAATAAGAAGCTGTGTTTTCTGGAATTCGTTATCCAGAGCACCATGCAAGGCTGTCCTAACATAAAGCTAAGCCCTGATAACAGGCACATGCATTCAGCCCCCGTCTGCTAAAATACATCAGAAGTGCCTTTATTGCAACATGCAAATCAATTACATGGGCAAAAATTTTTCATTTCTGGGGACTGCTTTTATAGTTACTGAGCATGCAAGTGAATGAGCACACAGAGATATGATTTTAACTATTTCAGTGGGTTTGATCCTCACCAGAGTAACCTATAGCACACACATTTATGTGATACTCTCAGGGTCCCAGAGACACAGCACATGGATCAGAGCTGCTTCTCTTGGGTTTGCCTGGTAACGTGGAGAGTGCTGTTGCCTTACTGTACCAACAATGCAAAATATATCCCTGTGCCACAGTTTTCCCTCTTTGAAATCTTCTTAGTGCCCTGTCCTCTGCAGATATTGAGAAATATTTCAGAGCTGGCAAAGTTGCTTCCAACACCTGGGAAGTTCAGGCATGTGGTTATTTTTAAGGACTGAGTTCCCTCTGCCTGTATATCAGTACTGTTCTTCCAACACTGGTCAGATGCTCAAGCGGTCACATAGCACACGTCAGCCTTGTCCTGTCATTCAAATCTTTGATATTCAGACATAAAGATGACACCTTCAGTGTGTCCAGGAAGTTCCTTTCTGTCTATCTTTCCAGGAGAACAAATGAATAAACCTGCCTGAAAAACCTTTTATCGGGATCTAAAAATGCTTTATCTGCTTCTGTTGCATTATCTACTCTTTGTGTTACTTGCAAGAGTCCAGCTACTCACAGTAACACAACATCACTTCATTTCTCACCCTGGAACTCCATTTTACCTTGATTACACAGATCCTGACCTACCCATCTTCCCCTGGAAAGGCTTGTTTTCCTCACTGAGACTAATGTAAACACAGTAGGAGTTTGCTTCTGAAGATCTTGGTTTTGGTGTTCCTTCTTGTTAATTCCAATGGCTGTCCATACCATTTCTTACCATTCAATATAAGACATTGCTTTGCATATTCTAGATACTTCAGATAAAATTATAATCCTCAAATTTAGTGAATTTAAAGATGTTTTTGAAGATAACTTCCCATAAATGTACATATCAGTGCATAGATTATTCTTCATAACTTATTGTGTATTTATTAACAAACCCTATTTGCTTGCCAGCATTTGCAATGCCAGCTGCCTTCCAATGTGTATCTCAAACTAATTTATTAATAATACCACTCACAAAGTAATCAGGCATGGCATCTACCTACATCACAACTGCTTTAATTATTATTTTACATTAAAAAAAAAAACAAAAACAATATAACCTTAAATAAGATGGAGACAAGGTGCAAACCTGTGTAATAATTTGAAATCCTTTAGCATCTCTGTGAATATATCATGGATTTTTTAATAATCCTAATTGCATTACAGGAGTTAAGGAATGATTAAGTTAATATTGATTAATCCTAATCAATATTATCCTAATATTAACAATAATCCTAATTTCTATTGTAAGAATCACAATCACTGGAAAACTGGCTGGGGGGCCCATCTTAATTTAGTATCAGTCTTTGTGCTCAGGGTAAGGCAGATGCCAACATTAGATCAATATTCAGAGCAGGACTGTATAGCCAACACTAAAACAAGTCAGCAGTGGCTTTGGCTAGCCACTGCTTGAAACACAGAGGTAAAGTTTTCACAGCTTTGGTCTGGCACTTGTTCCAGAATGTTTTACCAATTATTATTTTTAGATATTTACAAAATTTCTGTCTATCAGAGCTGTCTGTCATACTTTCTTCTGCAGTGTAATTCTGGGTGGGAATACTGTGCTTCTGCTTTAAGCAAAATGCAATTTGTTCTAGGTCTGTTCTCTACATCCTTACTAAGCCCACAAAACTGTGTTAGAATCTCATAAGGAAAAAACCTACTTTTTTATTAATTCGTTTTGTCTTCCCGAGTTTTGATTATAAGTATTTTCTACTACCATTGTCTTTGCACACTCTGTTCTGCTTCTAATAGGTCTTTCCTTAGGTATTTATTACTCTTCAATATTCCAAGATTTTCTTTCCAAATTAATTCTGAGCAATGTTCCCTGGAAAATGTCATGTACTCCCAACTTCCATAAATCATGAAGCT